CTACATCTTCGGCTCCAACTACATCTGCTGGAACGATCGATGTCTCCCTTGGTCACATCAGCGTGCCTCAAGGACACTCTAGCCGACGGGTTATCAACAAGGCTTTGTATCAGATCACAAGGATTCTGCATCAACTGTCTGGCATAGTGCAGGATATTCATCAGGCTAATCAATGTAAGTCTTCGTGATCCCTGTTCCATTATCTCTACTCACTGATAATTTGTTTTTAACTTGTGTGCTCCCAAGCAGGGGGAGAAAGTGACAGTGATGAAAGTGGCTGAGATGAGATCGTGGTTTATGGGGGAGCAGGCTGAATTGTTTTATTTTGTTTTTAAGTCTAGACTTAGGTTGGTTAGGATTGTTCTGGTTTTGGGTGTTTTGGTGTTCTAATTTCGTAGTGTTCCAAACTCCCAAACTCCAGTACTCTATTTAGATTTCGGTTAAAAATTGTAATAACATTTGCAAGTTTATTCAGTGTGTTTAAGGTCTATGTGAAATCCTGTTGTGCTTGGTTGCTTGTGTGGTTGTCTGCGTGTTTTTGATCTTGTATTGCAGATGCTTGTGAGACACACAAAGCTAAAAAGGGGGAGATTGAAGATGTACCTGCTGTAGTAGTGACTTGAACCAATCGTGACGTACTACAGGAGGCTGTACAAACAGACGGGCTGGGCTTAGAGCTTTGTGGGCTTATGGAGTAAGTTGGACCGAGCAAGGATGACCATGACTTGATACTCTGGAAGAGCTGGAGGCGTTCCTTGGAGAGGATCAAGGAGCTTGGAGATTTTTCCTAATATCTTGCAAAAGATAAGGAAAGAAGATATTGAGTGAAGATTGGGAATAATCTAAACTTGGAGGGCAAGAATAGGTGTGGCCGGTTTTACATATTGTGTATAAATAGGTTGGCGTTAACTTGGTGTTAGGTTAACACAATTAGCGCAGATTTCTTAGCAAAGGAATTAGGATTATCTAGCAAAAAGAAAGATCTTAATTCAGAGGGGCTAAGGGGTAGAGAGTGGTTCACAAGATCGTGTGTGACTTGTGAACGTGTGAGGCTAGGATTGGACTGAGAGTGAAACTTGTAAATGCACGAGTCATTCAATCTAGTAAACATTTTTGAGAAAAACTCCTTATGTTGTGTTCAGTTCCTGTACTAGTATCGTAACAATCTCTGTAGTAGTAACTGATACATTTTGAGAAATATTGAACCGACGCCAACATTGACAATTTCTTCGTCAAAACAGCTCCACCTCGCAGGTGTACAAGCATTCTCCTAAATAAAGATGAGAGACAAACATCAAAGAAATGGAATTTAGCAAACAAAGAAAAACATAAAAGAAAGGGATAGTACAATGTTGTAAATCAAATGCGAAAAGTAAAGTTACGGTTTTCGAATGCAGGTGATTCTAGTTCCTTCAAGGCGTTTCTTGGGATAGTAACAAATAAAACGATATTTTGTGAAAATGTCTTCCTTTTG